AATGTTGTAATTAAACTTCGTCTTTTATTCCGTCATACCATAAGTTGTAGAACTGTATGCCAAGTTGCAACTGCAAACAGGCCGTTGCGATTTCCATTTTTTTTTTAGCTGCTGCTCCTCCAAAAAAAAATCACAGTTCTTAACCAAAATTAATTTGCGCAACCCTTACATGAACTCTCATATCTAAAACAGTTTGCCTTTCTAAAACACATTTTTCATTTCTGTTTTGGATTGATTGAGGAAGAGGAGGATTAGCATGTTGTACTTGCTGAGATGCTTTCTGTACACCGGGGAGGAAATTGTTGAGAAGTTTCGCAATGAAAGCTTCCCGGGCATTACCAGGCTGCGCTAATTATGACTGATGGGTAAATTTCGTACACTCATGTTGTCAAAAGACGGTAACTCAAAATGAAATCTGCGAGCTTGTTTCCAACTTTCTTGAAATGATTCATTAGAATTTAAAGGGAAAACGCAAAAAATGCCACAATTCGCTAGTATATTTAGACTTCAATACCAACCCCCAAAATAAATCATACATTCATTTGTTCATTGACTAATTACGGTGGCAATAATGAAAACAATAATTACACCTTTACAAGATAAATAACCTCAGCTGGAGAAATGCAAATAAAGAATCTGTTGTTTCATCGCCTTTCAGTGATCAATAAATAACTAGATAACGAGTGACTCTTTATACAATTACTGTTATAATAATCATTATTTTGTTGACAATAACACTTGACTTTAGTGCACCATTATTTTGTCAAAGACATAGGTGCAGTGGTCATTGGATACGTCAATGGACTGTGGATCACACGGGTCACGGTTCGAGTCCCGCTGCGGCACTAATGTCCTTTGGCAAGCAATTAATCTACATTTGCCACTCTCCACCCAGGTCTAGTAAATGGCTAACTGTTATACAAAGAAACTTCCTAATTATCATGGTAGCTCGGCTAAAGACAGTTAATACTGATGAGGCTACCCTGGGTAACAAGACATTTTAGTATTATTATTGTTATTGTTATTATTATTGTTATTATTGTTTTATGTTTATTATATTTATTATTATTATTATATCATTATTTAAGATAAAAATCGTCTCGGCAAGTAAATACTGGATGTGTAAAAATAATGAAAAAACAGGGGGAAAACATGATTTACGGAAATCAACTCACTGAATTTCTTCTAAATATAATCGAAAGGAACAATTTTCACGACAATTATAGCTTTCTGGGTTTGATTTTAAAACTATATTCTATGAATGTACTTTCGTAAAGGAGGCTCGTCAGATATCTTTTATAAAGAAATAAAGCAGGACAATTTTCTGTTTGATCGAGACTCTGGCTTTATTTGCCTCCCGAGAACTAAAAGCCGAGACGAACGAGCAGAAAATCATTCAAGTCTTTCACCATTCATTTCTGAATAGCGCCCCCAGCGATACGATCATAATTGTATGTGACGTACCAAAGGGTCCTTTTATTGTTAAAGTTCTGTGGTGTTGACAATGCATAATATTTTATTCATGGGCTTATGTACTTATCGCAAAGTACTTGCAAATAATTCGACTTCATAAAAAGAGAAGTATAACTTAATTTTAAAAATCCCCTTGATCACTGAGAAGAACAAAATGCACATGTTGTAGTTGCTTTTCCTATTTTAGCTATCATCACTGTTTTTAGGGATGTCACTTCACATTTCGCTTACAAAACCCCATGTTATTTTTCTATTTTTTAAACAATCTTAGTAAAACAATATATCTACATGAATAACGATACTAATACTCGTAAGTCACATTATTGAATTACTCGCATTTAATCAAGAATTTAAAGCGTTTTAATTCTCAAAGAGGATACCAATTTTTGTAAAGACACGATTCTGAATATTAGTAAAAAGTTTTTAGATAAAAATTAAATCACGTTCAAATTAGAAAACACTAAAATCGTATAAGACATGGTAATTCATCGACATAACTTCAAGCATACACCGATCCCTTATCAAGTAATTCGAGAAAGGAAGAAACTGTATTGTAATCGAAACTCTTAAAACGTATGAATAACTGCCCGTTCACGCCTCCCCCCCCCCCCCCCCCTCCTACCCAATGCATACTCACTCCCCGAAGTTTGCCCGAAGTTTGCAGGCATTACACCCCTTGAGCCCGTGTAATCGAAACATGATAGCCGACTGGAGACCCTTTATAAATCATTTAGATATTATGATCCGTCTCGCGGTATATATTCGCTCAAGTGCTACAAGTTGTGCTATAAGGGTCACTTCTATATATTTATTGAAACCCTGAAACTGACATTATAACTGTAACAAAATATGCTTGGGCTCATAAAAACTGAAATGTATTAAATTCATGGCCTACTGAAGTATTAAGTTGACCTAAAGCAACGTAAAAATAGATCGATTTTAATAGAGAACTATTTTGCGAGAAAATAAACATACAAATGAAAAGATATTCCTTTTCTATTAGAAATAAGGATTTTAAAAAAACGAAGAGGAAAAAAGTTAGGTGTATCGTATGAATGCAAGTTGTGTGCACAACGTCTAAAAAATACTCTATTCATATAAATCAGAACCTTGAAACTTACCCTGTACCAAAATAAGTTTTGGTAAATGAAAATATTTTGAAAACCTTTAGTGTGCTTAATTAAACTGATCCAAAGCCGCGTAATAAATTAACAATTCAGAGAACTGCAAATATTATAGAGCGCCTTGTTTCCTGTGGAAAAGGGGCTATATAAATCCAAATATTTTTTAATTATTATTATGTAAAATAACAAAACTATGACCACCCCACCCCCCCCCCCCCAAAAAAAAAAATGGTGTTCATAGCAATTTCTGATGAGGGTGAGTGTATCATGTCTCTTCCATATAATACTCTATTTCACTGTGGACAATCTTGCAAAGTTTTGGTAAATGAAAAATATTTTGAAAACCTTTAGTGTGCTTAATTAAACTGATCCAAAGCCGCGTAATAAATTAACAATTCAGAGAACTGCACATATTATAGAGCGCCTTGTTTCCTGTGGAAAAGGGGCTATATAAATCCAAATATTTTTTTATTATTATTATGTAAAATAACAAAACTATGACCACCCCCCCCCCCCCCCAAAAAAAAATGGTGTTCATAGCAATTTCTGATGAGGGTGAGTGTATCATGTCTCTTCCATATAATACTCTATTTCACTGTGGACAATCTTGCAAAGAAATTCATTTTCTCGTCTTCATTACTCCATTGATGTTAATTAGTAAAGGGGGGTATTATTATTTTCAAAAACAGCACTCATAAAACAATAAACATGCACGCAAACAATCGGCCTATCTATGACGGCAAAAAAGGTGAAAGGTTGAAAAAATAGCTTTATTAAAACATCAACCCTGTTATTAATTATTATGGTCTAGTAGTAACATTATATTGCGTAAACAAGTCGCAACGTTTTGTAACGTTTACATAAAAGGTTTTGTAATATCTACTTTGCGCTTTTTTTCTTTCTCTCTGCACTCTCTCGATCGTTCGATGCCATGATTTTGCAAGCCCGCTCTGTGAGCACCCAACTATGACAATTTCCGCAAAAAAGAACAGAAATGGAACAGAAAAGGGTAATTCTTTTACTTCTAACATTCCCCTTTATAAAATCCGATCGAGACTGTTCCTGAGATTCAATGTAATACAGGCTCAGTCATAATCACATTATTATTTTCAACAATGTATTTAAAAAAAACGAAACGACTGTTGTTGTATTCGTTATCTAGCAAATGAGTTATAATCAAACTATGGAATTGTTGTTCACATTGCCTAACAAACGGGTTAAAAATATATTATGGAAATTCACTAGACATTATTTGTCAATTTCGTCGGAGGAGTGCATCATAGTATTGATAGTGATTCAGCTCTCATCTCCGATGTGGAAATAGCTTGTAAGATGATGTAATCAAACTGGAATGCATCTAGCTTCCAGCATGACTGTACCACAATTATTAAAAAGGTGGTTTCGAAATACAATGTTAAATTAATTTTACATGTGATTCATTTGATCTTGTATCTTTATCCGTAACTGTAGCCGGAAATTAAAATAACTTTAAAATAAGTTATAAGATCTAAAAAGAATATTTCGACATGCTTCTTAATCATGCTTTCTTCAAAATATTATTTCTTTCAATATTACTTTGGATTAATAGTATACTTGCAAATTTTCGTTGTTGCGTTTTTATGATATAACATTTTTTCTTTGTGAGAAATAAACAGAAGTGAAAATTGAGTATGAATTATCAGAGAAGCAAAGATAGAGAGGTGAAAATATAGAATATAAGTAATAGATATATCCCGCACAAATGGGGTAGTTCTACTGAAAGAGGTAATGGCAATAGATGAAAAACGAATTTAGATTTAGAATGAAGGTGAAGAGAAGTAAAAGGCAGACGGATAGATGGAAAAAAGGTATGTATATACATATATATATATAGAGAGAGAGAGAGAGAGAGAGAGAGAGAGAGAGAGAGAGAGAGAGAGAGAGAGAGAGATAGTAAGATAGATAGATAGATATATAGAAAGAAAGAAAGATAGAGATGTATAGAATGAAAAGAATAGATTTATTCTTAACTAACCGATCAGTCATATTTATTTCATCAACACTTTGCAACATTTCCTTCCACCACCACAATCTCTGGCAACGACGATCACTTCTACCTCACCATCTTGCATTGACAACCGCTACCATCATCCGAGCACTCTGGCAATAAAATTCGCTACAACACTCACTATCTTGCACTAATTACCATCATCACAATCGGGCAACAACATTCGCTAACACAATCACAATCACGCAGCAACTCTCATTACCACAAACAATCACTATCATCGACATTCACAAACACCAAAAACGAACTCTGGCAACAACAATCGCTCAACTTTCTATATCTCACTCTTGCACCAACAATCAATCCACCACTACATTGAACAAGTAAAGTACAAGAAAAATCCTCAAACAGAAGTATTATATTTTCAATATTTCCCTCATCGGTTGTGGGGTTTTATTCACTGTGGTCCACGCCGACATGATGCTACGAAATGCAAGAATACATTATCAGCAAAGATCGGAACATTTCAGATAATACAGTAATGATCATCGCAATTCAATAAACAAAAAATGCTTTCGCAATTGAACATTCATTTACTGTTAAATGTTTTAAGTCCTGCTTATAATATCTAGTCAACAAATTAAAGTAATCCTGCAGAGTTGTAGAAGATGATACAATGTAACTGTAGAAAAAGCAAGATAAGGCATTGTTTCGAATAATTTAAGAGTTGATCTGAAAACTCATAAGACTCGCACTTTGCTTTCATAAATTAAATATAATAAAAATAAACATTTGGCAACTGAACCGCTTTGCGCGATCATGAATTGAGGAATAGAAGTTGTCTCGAGTTTTCAGATTTTTTTTCCTATGACGATCAACGCCAATCACGTTCTTTTTCTTATAAAATTTTATTTACAAATAAACAATTAAACAAGTGCAGTAACACAAAATGTCATACACTGTGAAACAAAAAGATGTTGGCTAAATGCTGCTGATTTCACTGATTACAAATACAAATTGCAGTACTGGGGTGAGGCACTCAACGTACATCATTTAAATATTCTTCTAGAGTATACACTCAACAAATTCTGACCTAAACACTTTTGAAAACCGATAGAAGATGGAAATGATCGGCCCATGTTCCGTTTTGAGAATTATTCGGACAACATGGTGCTGTTTATTGGTCTGAAATCTTGGTCGGTTGGAACGTTCGCGAGGCTCAAGCGACACTTGAGCGACGCTACACGAACCCTCGGTTCGACCGCATCTTTTCGGCATGCTTCGAGCAACTTCGTCACACTTCGGCGTCCGAAGCTGCTTTCGGCATTGCGCATAAGCGATATTGTGAATACCATTTGTACTTCAAAGAGGCACTTGACAAAAAAAAGCTTACAAAGTCACAAAAAAGGATATCATTTCAAAGTTTTCCTGAAATTCCTCAGATCAAAGTAACCAGACTTGATCTTGAGTCACAAAAATACAAAAAAACCTATCAAACAATCACACAAAATGTGCATAACTTTTTTCTGTGCCAACTTTTGACAAAACGATACAATTCGCTGTATATGCCGCAATTTGACACGAGCAGAAGTATTACCATCTGCAAGTGTGTTCGCATTACGAGATAAATAAACCAGTTCAGTTCATTCACATATGACGTTTCATGTGAAGTGAGAGATGATCAGAGCGAGAGAAGGCTCGTTCACACAGGTGACATTGGAATGGTCGGTCACCAGTGTGCTTGCGGTAGTGGCGGGTCAGTTCATCAGATCGGGCGAACTTCCAGCCGCATCCCTTCCAGTTGCAGTGGTAAGGCTTCTCACCGGTATGGGTGCGCATGTGAGCCTTGAGATGAGATGACTTGGTGTAGGTCTTACCGCATCCTGGATGCGAGCAAGTGTGGGATGTGGTGCGCTTACGACCCCAGGTTCGCCTTCCCTTCCTTCGGACGATCTGAGTGGCAGGGACAGATGTTGGGACTGCGGTGTCGACTGGTGTGTTGCGGAGGAGGTCAAGGAGTGGTGAGGTTGGTGGTGTGTTGGGTGGTGTTGGCATCATGTGTTGCTGTGGTAGCTGTTGCTGCTGAGGCATGGCCAACCTGGTCATCTGAGGTGCTACCAGATGTTGATGAGAGTATGGTGGTGGCTCCGGGAGGGACTGTCCCTCTGAGCGCTGCTGCAGCTGAGAAGCCATCTGGAGATGATGAACGTTGAAGGTCTGGAAATACTGTTGCTGTTGTTGGTGGTGTTGCTGCTGCTGATGGTGCAGCTGCTGCATGTGGTGAATATCGCCAGTAAGAAGGTACTGGTGCTTCTGTTGCTGCTGCTGTGTCTGGTGTTGGATCTGTTGGGGTGAAACCTTAGCTTCAAAGGCGTTACTGAAGTTCAGGTTATCATCAAAGAAATGTCCAATGCAGTCTGATGGTGTGGCACCTGGAATCGGTGATGCAGCCTCCTCTTTAATCTTAATCTGCTGTGGGACTGTGATTGGCTCTGGTGAGGGCTCTGGGCTGTATGCCTCCAGGTCAGATGTGTTGTTGATGATGAAGTCGAGATCGAGGAGATCATCGTAGACCTGGGCAAATGCGTCGGACTCTGGCGAGACTGGAGGCGGTGAAAGGCAAGTGCTGCCGTCGCTTCCCGCTCCCGAGAACACTGTGGAGGCTGGTGAGCATGTCTCAAGCCTTGGGGCAAATGATGGCTCCTCAAAGCTGTTTGGCGGACAGATCTCCTGAAGAAAGCTCTCCATATCAGGCCAAATCTGGATAAAATAAAAAAACAAGAGAATTGATTAGCAAACTGTATAAACATTCAAGTGAATAGTGGTACAACCAAGCAAGCAATCTCATTATCAGATTATTGAGTTATACTTATGCAAGAACCCACTTTAGTTTTTTTTGACAAGCTTTAAGTAATGAAAGTTCAAGCTGAATACAATGTCTTTTCCATAACAATAGGCTGATCAATCTGGCCCGGAGGCATCTTGAGATACCACGCTAATTATGCAGGAATGCGGAGTCAGTGGTTAATCACTGGCTTCTCCTATTCAAGAGCATCTTCAGAAACCACTGGTCAATGAATAGCAGCGCATCGCTCCGAACAAGTGAATGGCGATCATTGTAATTATTGAACAGAAGGAAGCGTGATTTGGAACTCATGAATGAATAGCAGATTATAGAGGCTCCGGAGTTCAAGCTAGGTGGCTTTTAGAGTGGGACTCGAAAAAGCCAAACGGGGCTGGCTTCATAACATGTCCCACATCCTCGGTAACATGCATGCAATTTAATAACATGGCCTCTTCTAAAATAAGTGGCAAGATTATTCAAACATTGGAAGAGAAATACCAATCTTTGCCATGCTAAACGAAGGTTGGCTCAGTAAATGTCATTAACATAAATTACATGCGAATATTATGAAAACAAAACGCTCAATATAACTATAAGCAATGAAACAACAATCTAAATTGCTTCTGAAAGCATGATATTATAATGTAAACAAATTGCGGGCAACTGTAGTAAAGATGCTTACCTCGTATGAAAAGTCGCAGTGGTTTCCCATGTGGTTGGTTTCTCCTAAAAAGGCTGCCATGTTTCCTATCCAATGTTTTGGTTTATGAGCTGGTTAATAAATTGTCAAGACACGATGTTTCCAGCACGAGAGATAAAGTGGTTATGACCTGAGAACTGAGCGAGTAGTGGTTATAATCACATCGGCTCTATCTCGTGGTTCATTCAGGCCTGACGCGGCCAGCCAATCAGAGCGCGTCAACCACCGTGAATTAGCATGTCTAAATTTAGATGGGTATATATACTCCAACTGCTCGCTGGCGCAGATTTCAGTCGTGAGAGCGAGCTCCTATGGCTCCCACCGAACGGAGCTCCGCGTGACCATGGCAACGATGAATAAACATGAATCAACTGTGCGGCCGATCGCGCACACACAATCCACTCGGCAAATAGGCAAATACATAATACGACGTCATGTAGATATCCTGACGTCATCTATTATCAGTCCAATGAAAGGTCCTCCTGCGGTAGCAGGAACTGAATATTCATGAGTTTGACGGTGAAGGTTACGAACTACCTGAGCGTACGCTGTACGGGGAATCACATGGCTGTGTTTACGGTATATCACCGTCAGCTATTTTTAGGGGTATATATAGAGAGCGGCTCGTCTGACTCAGTTGGCAGATCGCAACCTGTAGCCGAGCGAGAGAGAACGGAGAGAAACTCGTATAATAATCGTTAGTAATCCCTCCGTCTCTCCAGCGGCTTTTGATAACTTTGTTTAGGGGAAATTTCCGAATCCGTATGACTTCTGGTATTTGCTCTATGACTAGTTCAACTACCATACAGGAAAGTGGAATTTCCCACCAACGGTGCAAGATACTTCCCAGATAATTCAAACCATCACAAATTTCATAAACTCCTATTCTACCCTTTTTATATACTGATATAATCATTATGACTATACAAGGAATAGAATTATCATATTATCATCCATGCCGCTGAAATATTAATGAAATTCATCCCTTTGTTTTGAATGGTTGTCAGGGCCTCCCACGGCCATACAATTACAGATGTTATTATCTTAGGTTGCTATCAATTAAGCTTGTTTTTCGTGTCCAATAATTTTAATAATGATACTTCCTACATCATCAACTAGCAGTAATATTCCCTCAGGTATCGCTATTGATTTCTCTTGTTAAAAAAACACAAATGAACTTTCAGCCATGATAAAAGAGTAACAAGGTTTTACGATGACAAATTTTGTTTCTATTTTCCATAACATGACTCTGCACTATTACTATTACGAATTTCACAAATAGTCAAATACAATAGCTTTTTGACAACACTGCACACAAAACACCATGTTTTCATTACGAAGTTTATACAAACCAGGATGTTCGTTTTTAGAATATTAAATATACACACATAATAATATATACATATATATATATGTGTGTGTGCATTGTGAGACATATATTTGTTTAATTATCATTATCATATGCTTTTTGTACATAGCTTGTATGTATTATTAAACTGCGCTGTAAGAAAATTGTTTGTGTTTTACAATCAATATCAGTATTGTATTAGGCCTATTTATATAATTTACCTATTGATTTTATATGCATTGAATCAAGCTCTACACTTAATATTTCAATTTTGGTTTCTATATATGAATAACATTTGTTATCATAAAGTTGGAATAATACCTCATTTCATGAAATAATTGTGACAATTTAGTTTATTTTCGATAGATAAACGTTATACCTTCTCAGTACTTAATTGATCATTCTGAACAAAGTGTTGAGAAGATTTTATCTATAAAAATTGAGCTATATTGTCACAAATTTTTCATGAAATGAGGTAAGGAAACGTTAATCCAACTTCATGGGCAACAATGTAAAGATTTACTGCATTCCAAAGGGCTACACTTATATTGCAATCAATTCTCTTTGCTTTCAGCTCAAAATATTTAATCAATCTTCATAATCCAGTTTTTCTCGATTTATGGCGTTCAAATTGAATGTTGTGCTCGGCGTTTTAAGGTCACTGTGTTGTATTAAATCACCTTGCACTTAATGCCTTTCGATACCACTTATCTCAGGTTTCTCCTTCCGAGAGTAGGGAGAGAGAGAGAGAGTGTGGTAGAAAGAGAGTCAGATGACAACAAGTTATCATATGACACTCGCCCGATCAATTATCTCGACCCATCTTTTCAAGTTCACTGGACATGTATTGTTACCTAATACCCTCCAACCTTATAACCTTTCCCAACGGTTTCATGGCGTGATATCAATTTTATCAAATTAATATTCTCTTTGAGTTAGATCGAGGCATGTGTGTAACGAGATAGTTAAACTTGGGCCGTGGTGAAAGCATAAATAAAATCATACGATGATTCCAATCCAATCCAATCCAGGAATTTATAAAGCGCCAATATCTAGTTGCCTAATCAAAAGCACTATGGTGCGAAAATATCACAACTCATTTGAAAATGCATCATGTTTTTATTTGTTTGTATACCTCAAATATACCTCAAGCACTTTCAAAACCTTGTAGTTATACCTTGAAACATTCAGATTACGTAATATTATCATTGCAATGTTTGCACTTGTCAAAAGGTGAATCACACAACTATTAAAATTGCCTCAAGGCGATTTTCTTTTCTTAAAAGTCATTATGATAGTATTCTAAAATGGAATTGGTAATCAGCGCAGAAAAATCTCCGGAAAACAACAGCTTTTTGTGGGCTTATAGATTGGGCTCAAAAGGGGCACGGGTCGGTTGCGCACCCACCCCCTTTTTTCCTTCTTAATCAGTCGATACACAATACCATCCGAATCCTAAAAAGGAAATCAGTGGTTTAGATCATAGACGTAATCTGTTTAGATCCAAGCTTATATCACTTATTTCCTGATTATTATCCTGTAATAATGCGTGTTTTATACAATGCCAGTCATTAATGTGTTCTTTTGCTTATCTTAATATCCTGTTGCTTTTGATTGTAAGTTTTCCTTCCCGGATGTGCCCTGTGTCCTTGTTTCATATTATATCTTCTAGGTTATAGATCCCAATTGTTGATAGAAGGAAAACCATGATGGTGAGTATGGTGGAGAGGTTTTAAACCAGACGTTATATGTTATCATATCTACCTCCATACATTAGACCAGTTTACAACAACCAAAAATAATAAAAGTATAATTAAAAATGTACAGAATGAAATCCATGTCCAAAGATCTTTAAGTGTGAAGAGCCAAAGTGTAACCACCTAGCTGCTTCGACCATCTTGTATTTCATTAGTGTGAATACAGGTTGCATACATTAGTTGTTGCCATGTCAGGCAAACTTCTGTCAAATTTAGGGTTGTCCAGTTGCCCTTGTAACATGCAATTAATTGAAATTAACTTCAATAAATTGCATTATACGTAAGTTCTCTTCAAGAATTTCATGAATATTATTTAGATGAGTCGAGTGATTTTTTTTTAATGATAATGAGAGGTCCGTTTCTCTCTTGGTATTTAAATTTCTCAAACGAGAGAACTGCAAAATGCAAATCAAATCACGTATTTCCATCATTCCAATGCCATCGCTATGTAATTGCTCATAAATTAGATATTGAAGATAAACGGACACACACAATATCAATGCGCATAAGAGCATTATAAAGCATTGTATCGGGAACACAATAAAACCCCAGAATTGTGGACTTCATGAAGTTCTTAATTACTATTTTCTTAGAAGTGGAATGATTATTCAAAACACTAATTTCCACGAAATAAAAAGATATACGCACTGCGTGGGCACGTCTACCATCAATTTCTGTACCCTGGTTAAATTATCAAATCCCCTCTTCCTGTTTCTGCAAAGAAATTATTATAGTATCCTTTCATAAATGAATGTGTATACCCCCTCCTATCTCTCTCTCTCTCTCTCTCTCTCCCTCCATCCCTCCCTCCCAACTCTCTCTCTCTCTCTCTCTCTGTCGTCCTAGTTTACTCGAACACGATGAATATAATATAGGTATATCCTGTTTTGACATCCAAGTAAGAAAAATATTACAAAAGGGTCACCGTTGGTCATTCAAAAAAAAAGCTAATTGCATAATGCAGAAATAGGATAATTTTATGTACATGAATAATGTGATAAAAATTACTATAATCAATATGATATAGTGGGAAGAAGGCGCCTAGCTAGGGCAACACAAGATCCATGCGGCACCAATTTTTAAACAGATGGTTATTTTTCTTTTCTTACAATCAACTACAAAATAAGTGTAAAGATAGTATCTCCACATTTAACATATACGAACATAATATTATGCTTATGTGTTGTTGTTGTTGTTGTGAAGCACGTTTTTTTTGTCTAACGAACAGCAAAGCAATCTCTTTTAGGCCTGCTTTATTATAGAGAGACTTTGTGCCACTGTCGCTGTCTTTATAACATAGGTGTCTTTACTCATCATCATTTTCTTCTACTTCTGTACTTCTTCTGTGATCGCTCCAAAAAAAACTTACACCCTACACTTTCGGCAAGTGCACTGTAACTACTCACGGGCGATATCTTCTTTTGCAAGCCAGTAAACCGACTAAACTAGATCATTATCTAATCATGTCATTATGTTCAAGGATTTGTATATATTCAGTGTTTGTTGTAACGAGATATGACATTTAATGACGACATCACAAAATATGAGACGTTCACTTTTTTGGACACACATAGTATTTTTTAAAAATCCATTGACTTATATAATTATTTGCCATGGACTAAGTATTCCTTCTTTTTTGTATAGATATCAAACTGTTTTATTGTTCTCATTTTCAAGTTGTCATCATGGGAAGGGTTTACTGTATCATGTTCATTACCACTTTTATTAATCGGAGGGCACAAGCTGAAAAGAATTGTTCCCAAGCTAATAAACTCTAAACAATTATTATTCAATATTTCATATATATAATTTCAGGGATGTTTCTTTTTAAATTAATAAATAAAAAGTACATGTTCACGAAAGGTCCGACCGCCGATAGTCTGATGATTCATAATGCATAAACCGCTTTCATTGTAATAATTTTTTCCCTACTATTCCTTATCGGGCGCCATGCAGTGATGATTTTGCAAAAGAGCGTATAATGACTCAGAATTCGCGCTGGAAAAAAAAAAAGAAAATCGCCTCATAATCACTGTATTCGAACAAAA